GATAGTCTCAGCCCAGCCTAGGATTCTCTGGCCATTTTCAGATAACTGAACTGGTGTGATTGCAAAGACATGCATGATGCCCTTAGACCTCCTCCTGCAGCCCGTGGTGATGTCTGCCTTGAAAGGGCTCTGTGTAAGGGCTTAAGCCATTTTATAGCAATTTAGCATGTGCAGTTGGGCTACCTCGCGAGAGTCCAGACCTGCAGAGGGAGGAGATGAGGATCACGTCTGTTTGCAACCGCACCCCCAAACCTGCCTGTTCCTCCTGAGTGTGCAACCATGGCTTGAGAGGTTGCAGCCTGAGGCTGGGAATCGAGGGAGTTATGGGGGCAGAAAGGTGGAAGGTAGATATTGTGGCGATGCTATGGCTGAATACTAACGGTAATTCTTCCCTCCTTTTCCTTAAAGAACGCTGTAAAGGCAGCGAGGCAGAGCCATGTTATAATCACATCTCATTGCCATTTGTGTGCCTGATGCACCGGCAGTCCCCATCCTCACCAGAAAGCTTTCTCCCATGGAGAGCTTGACCAAGCTGGGGGTTGGAATTAGATGGTCTTTAAGGTCCCTTCCAACCCAAACCAGTCTGATTCTAAGCTGGAGAGCTTGTCTGGCTCTGCAGAGCCCTGGCAGCTGACGGGGTTCCAAGATGGGTTTCTAATGAATCGGGGACTTGCAGGTTTCCCCCCCATCCCCACCATGACACAGACTGCTCTCTCTTCCAGTGGCGTTTCCAAGACCCGACAGCCCTTTGCAGGTTGCTTTCTGGGCACAGCGGGTTGTACATAGGCTGGAGTTTGGCCCGAGGAGGGAGGTATCTGCTAAGGTTCCCTGGCCAAGAGCCTAATGCCGTGTTCGTGAGATCCTTTAAAGTGTTTGCCTGGCAGGTAGCCCAGAAAATGACAGTTGTTTGTAGGAAAGCAGGCACTGAGGGAAATACGGCTCTCATCTGGGCAGCTCTGAGGTGGTCCCCAGTCCAGGGAGGGACAGGCAAGAAACCCTCATCGTTCCTCATTTTCCTCTTGGGATTCCCCTCAAGGGAAGAAAGCAATGATTATGGGGAACAGCCTCACAACCAGCAAATATTCCTGTTTGCCACCCATCCCTTCTGCCCTGTCCTGCAGAAAAGAAGCAGAAGGGGCAAGGAGGTGGCTTTAAGTTGCCCTTGCTGCTCTGCCTCTGGGAGGTGACCCGTGGAGGAAGGGGGAGTGTGTGTTCCCCTCCAGCGTGGATTCAGGAAAGACTCGGGATTTGCAGGCATAGAAATAGATCTTGGCTCCTGGGGCACAGTCCTTCCCTCTGGACCTTCGCTCAAATGGATGCAAGATTTGGCCCTTTCTTGGGTAGGAAGTTATTTTTCAGCGGCTTGGAGAACAAGGAGACTCTAAGATGTGAAGAGTCACCTGTGTAACCTAAAAGAGGCCGGGTCGGTGCCGGTGAAGGGACCCTGGAGCCAGGCTGAAGAGCATGAAGTCCTGGGCAGTGGGGCTGGTGGTGGACCCAGCCTGGGGACCTGACATAGTTTTCAGGAAGCAGCAATACAGCTCCGTGGCAAATATCTTCCCACCAGTGGTCCAGAAAGTCTCGGTGCCTAATCCATGGGATCGCACTGCCTCTGCTATGTTTTCATTCAAAAGTTGGAGGACATGACACACAGACATCTGCAAGAAAGCTGGAAGGGTGACAGCGATCTCCCTTGATCCAAGCAGCTACGGTGACTCCTGCTTGCACACCAGGCAGCGGTACAGAGTGCCTCCCTCTCGCAGAAATACAGCCCATTGTCGTGGTTTAACCTCAGCTGGCAACTGAGCACCAGGCAGCCGCTCGCTCACTCCCCCCAGTGGGATGGGGGAGAGAATCGGAAGGGTAAAAGTGAGAAAACTTGTGGGTTGAGATGAAGACAGTTTAATAGGTAAAGCAAAAGCCGCGCACGCAAGCAAAGCAAGGAATTAATTCACCACTTCCCATGGGCAGGCAGGTGTTCAGCCATCTCCAGGAAAGCAGGGCTCCATCACGCCGAACGGTGACTTGGGAAGACAAACACCATCACTCCGAACGTCCCCCCCTTCCTTCTTCTTCCCCAGCTTTATATGCTGAGCATGACGTCCCATGGTATGGAATGTCCCTCTGGCCAGTTGGGGTCAGCTGTCCTGGCTGTGCCCCCTCCCAGCTTCTTGTGCACCTCCAGCCTGCTCAGTCGGTAGAGCACGGGAAGCGGAAAGTCCTTGACTAGTGTAAGCACTGCTCAGCAACAACTAAAACATCGGTGTGTTATCAACATTGTTCTCACCCTAAATCCAAAACACAGCACTGTACCAGCTACTAGGAAGGAAATTAACTCTATCCCTGCCAAAACCAGGACACCCATAAATAACCATGTGTCTGCCTAAGGCTGGGATTGGTTTGGATGCAGACAGTAGGATTTAACTGTAAATTTTCTGGAACCTCCCTGTCTCTTTGGTCCCATCCACAGCAACTTTCAGACTGAGGGTCCATTCTGGGACAGGAATGGGCTCCTTTTCCACAGCAACCAGGACGCTGTAAGATTTTACAAGCACAGAAAAAAAAATAATCTTAAGATTAAGTGAAGGTCACTATGGGCAAATTCTGCTCTGCAAAACAAAAGTTGAATTGCAAATGAACTGAGGGAGAAATTAATAATTATATCATTGCAAGATAAAGCCTCACTTGGATGATAAGTGTGTGGATTTGGACCAGAGCAACTCCTTCATTTTGCAGAATGTACTTTGAGCTTTGCACAGTGTGATAAAAAGAGAATTGGGCATTGCACAGTTTTGCAGCAGACCTGATGACCTGGCTCCCAGGTGCAGTAGAATCATAGAATCATAAAATCATTATTAGGGTTGGAAAAGACCTCTAAGATCATCGAGTCCAACCGTCAACCCAACACCACCAGGCCCACTAAACCATGTCCCTAAGCGCCTCATCTACACGTCTTTTAAATACCTCCAGGGATGGTGACTCCACCACTTCCCTGGGCAGCCTGTTCCAACGTTTAACCACTCATTAACATTAACCATTAATCATCACCTATTAACAGTAAAATTGCAACCTCCGTGTTGTTCCTCAAGCAGCGTTTATGTGTCACGTGGACCCCGGAGCTTTGCTTCCTGCTGGATGCTCTTTCCCCCGAGTTA